GTGTATTCATCTCAAATGCCCATTTTTGGATTGGGCCTTTGTATTTTGGGGATCTGATTTTTAAATTCCTTATGCTCTTTTCTGAGGGACAGTTGACTAAGATTTTTTTTAACATTCATGAGTTCTTTTTTACTTTGAGATTTCTTTTGACATGTAAAAACCTTTTAATAAAATGAGATCTCAGTTATTGATTCAGGGAAGTACTTCCTATGCTGTTTGATTTTTGTTCATGAATTCTCTTCACTACCTTCAAGATTTCTACGTAGTCTGTCTTCCAGCAGATTTGGTGTTTGTTTTAATATTTAGATCTTTGATCCATTTTGACTTCAGTTTAGTACATGGTGATAGGCAAGGGTCTAGTTTTAGTTTACAGCATATGGAGAGCCAGTTTTTCTAGCATCACTTATTTACGAGGCTGTCTTTGTTCCAGAGAACATGTTGGTCCCTTTGTTAAAGATAAGATGGCTGAGTGTGTTTGTAGTTGTAGATGTATCTTGTAATCTATTCCGTTGATCTTCAGGTCTATTTTTATTGAAGTACCATGCTGACTTTATGATAGCAGCTTTGTAATGTAACTTCAAGTCAAGGACTGTGACCCCTTCTGCCTTGCCTTTGTTACCCATAATTACCTTTGCTATTTTAGGTCTTTTCTGGTTCTACATGAATTTTAAGAATGATTTCTGTAGACCTGTGAGATGTGCTAGCAGCATTTTGATTGGGATTGCATTAAATCTGTATAACAATTTTGGGAGAACGGCCATGTTTACAGTGTTCATTCTAGCTATCCACGAACAAGGAATGTCTTTCCAGTTTCTCAGATCCTTTTCAATTTCTTTTATCAGGGTATTATACTTTTCCCTGAATAAATATTTTTCTTCGTTTGTTAGGTTCATTGCTAAGTATTTCATTTGTGTGGAAGTTATTGTGAAGCTGTGGATTCTTTTATTTCTCTCTGTGAGTTTATTGTTTGTGTATAGAAATGCTATTGATTTTTAAGTATTGACTTTGTATCTAGCTACATGACCATATTTAGTTATTATAGCTAGGAATCTTGCAATGGAGTTTTGGGGATCTTCTAATGGAGAGTATCATGTCGTTTGTAAGGAATGATGATTTAACTTCTTCTTTTCCTATCCTTCCTCTTTTTGTTTCTCTCTCTTGTCTAATTGCTCTGGCTAGTATTTCCAGCACTCTATTGAATAGGAGTAGTGATAGTGGACATCACTGTCTTGTTCCTGACTTCAGAGTAAAAGCTTTCAGTTTTTGGCCATTTAATGTGATTGTGGCTGTTGGTTTGTCATAAATGGCTTTTATCATCTGGAGATAAAGACCATCCATTCTGATTTTCTGTGTGGTTCTTATCATGAATGAGTGTTGGACCTTATCAAAAGCTTTTTTTGCATCTATAGAAATGATCATGTGATTCTTAGTTTTGGGTCTATTACTACAGTGGGTTACATTTATTGATTTGCATATGTTGAACCACCCTTGTATTCCTTGGATGAGCCCCACTTGGTTGTGGTATACAATCTTCTTGATGATTTGCTGCCTTCTGTTTCCCAATATTTTATTGAGAATTTTTGCATCCGTGTTCATGAAGGAGATTGGTGTGAAGTTCTCTTTTTGTGGTTGTGTCTCTGTCTGGTTTTGGTACTAGAGTAATACTTGCTTCCAGGAATGAGTTAGGGAGAATTGCTTCCCTTTCAATTTCATGGAAAAGTCTGAGGAGTGTCAGCATTAAGTCTTCCTTGAATTTCTTGTAGAATTCCTTGAATTTCTTGTAGATGGATTCTTGCAGGGAATCCATCAGAAGCTGGGCTTTTCTTTGTTGGTAAGGTTTTAATTACATTTTCAGTTTCATTAAATGCAATTGCGTTATTCAGCAGTTTTACATCTTATCGATCTAGGTGTGGTAGTTCATACGTTTCTAGGAATCTGTCCATTTCTTCTGTGTTATGAAACCTATGAGGGAAGAGTTTTTCATAGTAGGTGTAGGCAAGGTGTCTGTTGTTTTTTGGGTTCAGAATATCTCTCCCTACTGCAAAGAGTTTCCCCAGTTGAGGGGCGGTTTTTAGACAGACCTTACCAGGTGGCTCAAAGGCACTGACTAGCTGGGCAGGGCCCAACTGGGCCAACTAGAGGTCCTCCAGTGATGGGGGACACTGGGCAGGGCCCTACCAGGATCTGAGGGACTTAGCACGTGCTGCTGCTGTAAGATGGAAATCGCTGCATGTGACTCCAGCTCATAGGCAGAGAACAGGTGGCTCCAGGCTTCTTGAGGGTGGCTGGATGAGGCCAAACACAGGCCAAGGGGGCCATAACTAAGCCCCATCTACTTCCTGGGGTCCTCTGCTGATGGGTGATGCTGGGCGGGGTCCTACCAGGCTCTCAGCAATGTGCCAAGCCTGCTTCTTTGGATGGAAATCACTGCATGCCTAGGAATGAATTTAGAAGTACTCCTTCCTTTACAATTTTTTAAAGATTGTGAGGAGTAGTACTATTACATCCTCCCTGAAAGTCTTGTGAAATTCAGCTGTGAATCCATGAGGTCCTGGACTTTTCTTCCTTGTTAGGTTTTTAATTTCTGTCTCAACTTCAGAAGCAGTTATTGGATTGTTCAATGTTCTTGTATAGAGGTACCCCAGTTCATGAACTGAATTCTGTGATTCAGCTCTCAAACCCGATTGGGCCAGAACCGAAGGAGGTTTCCTCTATTGGCCACACATTGAATCTCACCACTGAAGTTGATTTGGTTCTGATTCAATTCTATTTGAGATCAAGAATTAAATTCATGAACCGAGGTACCACTGTATTTTCTTGCCTGCCTTTTGATAACTCATATGTGTCTTCGCATCTGTCTTAATTTTTCAAGACTCTCTCCAATTTGTTGCAGTACAAATTTTGATAGTAGTTTTTAATGATCTGGATTTTAGGAGCCTTCTTTGCATTTTTGCCTGACTTATTTGTAATGACATGGATTTAAGTTTTCTGTTTTGGGAAAAGATTAAATAAGGATTTGTCTATTTTGTTTATTTTAAAAAACAAGCTCACTGATTTGTTGATTTTTTTAGTCTCAATTTTGTTAATTTGTGCTCTAGTTTTCTTTATGGTGCTAAGTTTGGGTTTGGACTGTTCTTGTTTTTCTAGTGTCTCAACGTGCATCAGTAGGTTTTTGATTGTTCTTACCTCACTCTGCCTTTCTAATGTGAGCAGTCACGATGAGCTTCCGTCTTAGCACTGGTATCGTTGCGATCCAATCAGCTCTGGTACTTTGTACTGGCATTATCACTGGATTCCAGGAATTGCTTACTTTTTTCCTTCATTGTCTCTGTGACCCAGTGAGTGTATAGAAGTGAGTTATTTAATATCCAGATGTTTGTGAAATTGTGGCAAGACTGCTTGCTTAGCAAGGTGACAGCCTGTGTTGCATCTCTCGGAACACAGAAAATAATTAACATGAAAATGGTTTCTGAAGCACCTGGTTCCTGCTAAGCTATCTTGTGGGCAAGGTGATGTGAGGGATGGTGGGGAGGAACTGCAACTGTCTGCAGGGAGTTTATAATCCAAAATGGGAAGGGGAGATCAGGATCACCCTGCCGGGGGAGTCACAGAGAAGTCTGTAGAATAAAAATCTACCAAAAACCCGCAAAGGAAGGATCTAGTTCTAGTGGGGTGCTCCATGAAGGACGGACCCCAGATGTTGAGAGATGTGGCAGGGAGATGGCCCTGTAGAGGAGCAGTGTCTCAAATGGCCGGAGCAAGGCACAAGGGTCTACAGGGAAGTGGCTGCAGGAGCCAGCACTAGGGGTCCTGGGAGGATCATGCACAGTGAGCTGGGCTCAGGTCTGGTGCAGGAAGAGGGCCATGGCTCAACAAGGCCTCCCCCAAGGTGACCATCTATTCCAGCAGAGTCACAGGTATCAGAAAGCATTCATGTCAGTCACAGGGGACAGCTGATGTAGGTAGGAGCAGAGTGACAGTGAGGGAGCTGCTTGTTCCAAGTGTAAGTGGTGAGGGCAACGTGAAAGCAAGTAAGAGACCAGATAGGTTGCCGGGGGAAGCAAAAATGCCTGATTCTGGATCATAAAAGGGCAGAGGACAGGAAGCCATCCCAGAGGGCAGTAAGGGAGGACAGGAGGAGGGCACAGTGTGGGCAAGGTGACATCCTTGTTTGTGCTTTGGAGGATGGCTCACCCTCTGGGTCAGCTGTTCCCCCTCCAGGTCAGCTGCTCCCCAAGAGTCACAGCAGGCATGGTTGGGGTTGCCTGGTCATTACCATGACAACTGCACACAGCTGGGATGGTCAAGTTCAGACTGTTTTCTACTAATTCATTCCTGTTGTATTTGATAGAAAGATAGGTCGTGAGAAATTGTTTACTAACCAAAAGAGAGCTGGACCTACCTGCCCCTGGTTTGAGAGGCATAGCCCCAACAGGGATGTGGTCTGGATCTCAGGGACATCAGGAGCAAGGTCCTACACTGTGCCTAGGACATGGCAGATTCTGGGCACGACAGGGTCGAATCAGAGGCGACACAGACCAAATTCTAGGAAGAAGGACCAGAAAAGACAACTGGGGTAGGAGATGCTCTGACCCACCAGAAGCTCATTGTCCACGTGCAGCCTGAAGGATGTCCCTGACAAGCTCATTCTGATGGTTTTGGGAAACCTACGCAAGATTTTCTCCAGACTATGTGGAGGTACCATGACACACACACGCCCCACACTACCCGACATGATCCTCCCATGCCTGATGCCAGTGACAGTAACCCCCGTGCCCTCAAAGGAAATCATTCATGTGCATCAGCATCCGATGGCCACACAGGCCATAGGAGATCTCTTGGTCAGAGCTGCAGTTCTCAGTGATCTCAAATCTCTGAAGCTGGAACAGGTTAGACCAGAAGTAAAACATTTTGGTGACACAGCTGAGCCCACCCGACCCAGGCCCTGGTCAGCTGGGGTGGCAGGGAGGGGACTGTAACAGTCAGGCCCTCTATCTCAGGTCACATCCCAAGGCAAAGCCCTGGCCCCCACCATCCAAGTGGCAGAGCATAGCAGATGTGGACGCAGGTAAGCACATGGATCCAGATGGGGAGGGGCTGGCTTCTGGGGAGCAGGGTCTGGGATGCCTGGCCTCGGAGGCTGCCAGGGGCTCTGCTCCCTTCGTCTCTGCAGAAAAGGGGCAGAAAACTCCTGCTCCACTGTGGTGTGCCAGGCCCCTGCCATCTCCCACATCCACTGCAAGTACTGAACAAACAGAGGTTAGTGCCTCTAAAGAGCACAGAACAAAGTTATTGTTTCTATCATAAGAGGAATATACTTTCATGGCATGCACTCTGAAACTGAGTAGAGTGTGAATTATGAAAGAACACGCCCTCCTATCCGCACTTCCCACGGCTCAGCCACCTGAGTGTCTGTAGTGTTTTCTCCTGGCCTTGTTTCCAGGCTTCTTTCTTCTGATGCCAGTTCATGGTGCTGGCTGGTACAGGTATGGCAGGATGAAATGGTCCCTGGGACAGTCTCCATGCTCCTGAAAAGTCTTTGCCAATCCTGATAACTGCTTGTGGTTGAGGAGGGAGGTTGTTCCCTTGGTGCCTCTCAGTTGGTAAGGGCATATTTGGGGCTCTATCTAGACACCCCTGTAGGAGCCAATTTGAGCAGCTCCACTTGAATACAGAAACAATTGCTTTAGCATTAGTTCAACCGAGTCTTGTTGCCATGCCCTGATATGTACAGACTTGGCTATAGTATGTCCATCACCCTTCAACTGGCTCTAAGCAATGCAAATAAGGGCAGCCAAGATACTGACATGTAATCCTTAAGGCCAAGTGACATTTTCCTCACACTGTGTTCCCTGTTAAACAGTTGAACACAGTGGGATGGCAGAATCAGTCAGCTCCAGCAATGTCCACTGGGTATGAGCCTCTAAATAAAAGTGCGTGACCTCCCAGGGTAAAAAAGTTTACATATCAGAGACCAAAGCAACGGCCTCCTCAAAGTGTTCAAATGCTACCCCGACTGGGTTATGCAGACTGGTCCTTTGCTTATCATTCTCCTTGCATATTGAAAAGATGCTTTTCTCCCCATCTGGCTAGCCAGCTCAAAGTATTCATGTAAAACAAACTTACTCATGTAGTTCATGCCATCCTCACTGTCAGTCATCCTTGGACCACTGCTTTCTTCATGAGATAATACACTGTGGGAGAGACCTTCCATCAAGGCCTTTGTCTGTGTATCCTCACTTGGATCAGACTTGGGATTCCTTGGCTGCCCATAACTTAGACTAGGGCTTAGTGTCTTTACTCTCACCAAGAGTTGCATTGGAGGTGGTAGATGGGTGTTAACTTGCTGAGATTCCAATTAGGTTTCAGTGGAACTAAAATATATCTTTCTGGATTTGAGGACTACAAGAAGAATTACAATATTTGGATTATAATATAAAACATTTGGATTACAGCATACAGCATTTGGATTATAATATATAATATTTGGATTGCAATATAGGTCCTCTCATTCTTCATCCTCATGAGCCCTGTCCAATGCCTGCACCCTACTAAGTGCAAGGGAGACTGGCAGCTCCATGGCTGAGCCACGCCCAGCCATGCGCCCTTCTGTGTGGAGGCATGAGAGTACCCAGGTGGAACAGAAGGATGGCCTACAGGACACACAGGTACAGGCTAGAGGAAGGGGCTGCTGGCTCATACAATCTGCAGGTCTGCCACATGCAGGCCAGGAGGGAACACCTGCTGTGTGGAGCGGTGCAAGCACCCATCCTTCTGTTGGTCCAACAATGCTAACAGTGAACCCCAAGTCACCCAGACAAGCTGAGCTCCAGACACGTGCCACTGGCAGATGGTAAGGAGCAAACACCGTTGTGTATGGGAGGGAAAGAGGACATTTTAAACAAAGTGACCAAGGAGGCCTGGCAGGAAGGTGACATTGGGAGATACCCAGGTGGGAGAGGTTCAGTCACCAGAGATAAGGAGCCAGGTGGTATAACTCAGGTAGGAGTAGCCCAGAAGCTCAGGGCCATGGGACTGAGTGTGGTGACAGTAGAAGAATCCAGGAGAGAGAGGGGTCCAAAGGCAGCAGGCCAAGAGAGTTTGCAGGGGAAGCAGGAGTGGGGGCACCGAGGTGCAAGGCATGGGAGGGACCGGCTGTGCCCCAGGCTTCACACACGCTCTGACTGCACGTGGGGAGGGTCAGGGGAGCAGGGGAGGAGGGTCACCCCAGAGACCAAGGCTGAGTTTCAGCTGGGGATATTGGGGAGGGGCTCCTTTGTTGAAGAGTGGTAGAGGATTCAGAGATGGCCCTAAGGAGTTGGGTCTGAGAAGACAGAAGGATGACAATGGCGTTGACAATACTGGGGGTGGGTAGCCTGGCCAGTGGCAGCTGGGGCTGAGTGTGGTATGTTTGTCCATGGTGCTGTTCAGCCAACCACTGGGGTCTTGTGGCACAGGCCAGAAGAAAGCATCTCAGCCAGGGCATGAGGGCTGGGGTAGGTGATGGTGGGGGCAAAACTGCACTGACAGACGAGAAGGGCCCGGGGACACCCGTGCTACTCAGAGGGATAAGGGAACACCAAAAATTACAAAGGTCAGGTGACCTTGGGGGAACAATCCAGGCCCCAGATGGGTGCTTTCAGGATCTGAAGCTCTGCAGGGCTTGGGAGCAGCTCTCCATCTAATTTTCCTCTCATCTCCCAGGCTCTGTTAGATGAGGTCTGTGCTCCACCCTCTCTGCTTCACTGGCAACCTCCTCCAACCCTCAGGGCAGACAATGTCAGAGGTTTAAGAGTACTCAGAGCCTCAGGGTCAAGATGAGGCTTGATGGAGGTGGATCTTGTCTTGTGAGATGAGCTGGAGCTGTTCCCATCTGCAGCAGTTCTTCCTAATTCTCTCACCTGCACTCCTCCACAACCATCTCTGAGTAGGCTGGAAAACAAGACAACAGTGCTCCTCAATCACCAGTTTTTCTACATATAGTAGTGCCTTCATGTCTGGGGTTCAAAACTTGTAGATGCAACTCTAAACAGACAGTAAATTGTTGGGGAAAATGTGCCTGAACTGACTATGACCAAATTTCTTTTTATCCCCCTAAATTACATCCTTAGTATTTGCATTGGTTCAGGCATTATAATAATCTAGTGAGGAGTGAAAGTGTATGGGGGCAGCACACAGTGCATCATTCTGTATAAGGGAAGAGAGCATCTGCAGTCAGTTTTGGCAGGATGGATGTGTGTGTACTGGATGCAATCCTCCATGGACATGGAGAAGTACACAGAAACTTTCAAACAGTGGTGGAGAGGTAGTTCACGAGTAGAGCACTTGCCTACAGTGCTCAAGGCGCTAAATTTGATCCCCAGCCCTGACAAAGTCAAGTGGAAAAAACCCCAAACCAACAGGGCATGGTGGCATACACCTGTGGCACTTAGGGAGGCTGAATAATTAGCTTTCCCACCTCTGTGCATTATGGTTGATACACTGTGTCAGTTTAAAGAAGTTTAGAAGGTTACCTAACAGACTCGGTGGGGAGCCAGAATATTTGCAAATATTCTGAGCCTGTGTCAGAACAGGGCATGGAGAGGGTGCGAGGGCTACATCCAACCTAGAGTGGGGGTGTTCTGTGTGCAGTATAGGGGAGGAAAAGAGTCTTGTTTCCTGGCTTTTTACTCTGGCTGCTTTTGTTGAGTGCTGCCTGGAAGCATATCCCTGGTGCCATGCTACGCTCCTTGTCCTAGAGTTAGCTGATTATAGACTGAAACCTCCACAAACAGATAAATTAACCTTTCCTTCCTTTTTTCAGGGTGTTGGGTGTTTTTTCCCAGCAATAAGAAAAAAGTAACCAAGACACTGAGACACAGTACTGACCCCCACAGTTTAACAAAGGAAGTATTTCATTGGGCCCTCAGTTTCTAAGGACTCAGTCCACGACTGACTGGCTCACAAACAAAACCATCATGGAAAAGAAGTGCAACAGAGCAAAGGTGCTTGGTTCAAGGTGACTGGGAAGCAGAGCTGCGGAAAATCACAACAGAAGACAGGGCCGGGGCCATAGACCCCTAGACCAACCCACCAGGATCTACCCAGATATACCCAGAACTGTGTTCCTCCTTCTGGTAACCGCTTCCAGGAGATCACCAAAGCAACCAAGTTCCCATTCTACCCTCAGTGTCACAGTAGCTGAGGTAGAGGATTGAAAGTTCATGCCCAGATTTGCAATTTAGTGACTTCCTGAGACCTTGTCTCAGAATCAAAAATTAATATGGGCTGCAGATGTGGCCCCTTGTGAAGTCCTTGGGGTAACCGGTAAGAAAATAAAGAGCAAAGAAGCAAGATTAAAGAGAGAGGAGAAGATTGCTCAGATACTGAAACAATCTAGACCATTGAAAAATATTTATTATAAATATGCTCAAAGATATAATAATAAAGGAAAGATTTTGAGAATCAAAGCAGAAAGTAAAGTGTAAAGAAGAATGAAATAGAAGTCTTAGATCTGAGAATCATGTCCTAAGAAATATGTATAATTTTAGAGAAAGGATATGGCCAAAGCTGTATGTGATGGCACATGCGTGTCATCCCAGCACTCTGGAGGTTCAGGCAGGAGGATTGCTGTGAGTTCAAGGCCAGCCTTTGGTACATAGTGAGTTCAAGGTCAGTTTGAATTATAGAACAAAACCCTGTCTCAAAAAACAAACAGAAAAGAAAGAATAAGCCAGAAGCAAAGATCGGTGAACTGATAAATAAAAAGTAACGAAAACAGAGATCCCACCTAACTGCCTAGAGGAGTCACATCAGAGCTGGTCAGAGAAGAGTCACTGAGCTGCAGATACTCTTACACCCCAAATCAGAAAAGGCAGTCCCTGTAGATCACACCTAACATGTGAATCACTCAAAGCAGGGAGCAGAGCCAGGCAGTGGATCCACACGATTTCTGCCGTTCTTCTGGAGAGCAGCCAGTATGAGAGCACATGTTTGATAGACCCAGTGCAGGACACACAGCGTGATGGCTGGGCTCCTGGGACAGACTCTTGGTGTACCAGCCCCTTCCCTCTATCTCTCCTCCTCCAAGCTCAGGGATGCTGCATTCCTGCAGCATTCTTGCCATCTCACTGAGGGCAAGGGAAGCCAGCCCCATGCCAAGAGAGCAGATAGCCAGCCTGTGCACCCCACCCAGGGACTCTGCAGATCCCCTCTGGAGAGGGACTGGCCCACCAATCTTGAGGCACCATGCCTGTGAGTAAAGTCATCTGCCAGCCCCACAGACATCCATTCAGCACACACACTGGTTCTGGGTTTTCCAAGGACCCCCACCCTACCCCTACCTGACCAGAGCGCCAGCACCCCTGCTGATGCCATGGACCCCCGCCAGCCATTGCACCTTAGGTGGGAAAAGGCCTAAAATAACCTGGGGACACTGTCCGAGTCCATGTGCAAGCTGGAGCAGACATTGCTGGCCACTGGGCTTGTCTGGGTTTTGAGTGCAAGGATAAAGTGGGGGAATTTGGTGTAGCTTCCTGCAATCAGAATGCACCTAAGATAGGAAAGATGAAGGTGAACACTCAGGCTTTTTGCCATGACGATCCCAGTTTGCCTGGGACCCCATCAGATTCCTGGCCCTCTCCAAGACCTGCCCCCCCCCAATTATTGTAGGCCACTTCCACCACCTCTCGCCTGGATGACCCCAGAAGCCTCCTCTTAGGTCCCTGTGCATCCTGTCTTGCCCCTTGTATTCAAAGTCATTTAGCAGCCTGCATTCTCATCTCCTGTCCTGTGTCATCTCTCAGAGCTGCCCTTATTCCCAAGACTCTGTGTTCCAGTATCTCCTGTGCACCATGTCTTTCTCCCTTCACCCCGCCAGCCACACAGACATGCACCACACATCACACTGGCCTCCCTCCTGTCTGTACTGTTGCCTCCTGCTTCCTGTGGGTCTCCCCTCTCCGTCTCTGCCTGGAAAGCAAACTCTCTCAAAGAATGTGGATCCAGCAGTTAGTTCCTCCAGGCCAAATCCTCATCCTGCCTGGCTCAGGAGCCCCAATGTATGCAAACAAACCCTGGTTGGCGTGTATCACCTCAATGACTACCTCCCAACCCCACCACCACAATACCTGACAAGCAGCATACCTACGGCATATGCAATGTGCAGCTACCCAGTTGCCGTGTGCCCAGCACCCAGAAGGCATGGAAGGAACACGAGAGGCCTTGAACAGGGGGCCAAGGGGACTGCAGTTCACTTGCATAGATTCTCCTATGCAACCTCAGAATGATCCCATCCTGAACTCTCCCAGTCTGACTGCATGAGGAGGAAGGGTCAGCCTGGGATGGGTATGCCTATGTGGCCAGCACCTTCTCAGCGCTTGGTAATCTCCCTTTTAGGTGGTCAGGAAGGATCCCCGGATTCACACATGCGATGCAAATGTCCTGGTGCACAGATGCTGTGTCCTGCTGCATCCCTTGTCCCTCCTAGGTTTGACCTAGCAGGGGCAGCTGTACACATTTACAGAGTGTTGGCAAGCTGTTGAAGTTTGAAATGGATCACATGTGTAGGGCTGGGGCATGACCATCTCAAGAACAAAGAAAACCTGGGGCAAGCCACATGAAGATGCTGCTTCACCCCAGAGAACACCTAGGACTACAACAAGCTGGGTTGCTAAGACAACTGGGTGTCATGTGACAGTAAGTTGCTAAAAGGTATAAATAAACACCCTTAAATAAGAAACTAGTACCATTCCTCCAAAAGGATTAAGAGTTCCACCTGACCCCAGCTTTGTCTCCTCTTTATTTTCTCATCTCCTTGCAGTCCTTCATTCCCAGAACCTCAGGAGCCACAGGAGATTGTGAGGACCCTCAAAAGAGACAAAGCCAGGAATTCAGTTTTATGGGATTGGAATGGGGTGGAGACTACAAGAGTGGGCACGTCATTACTTCGAGAGAGGACTGAAAGACTAGGGACTGGAGACTACCTGAGTGGATGTTGTCGACAGAGCACTGGAGGACCTTTAGCACACATGCAAAAGGAAAGCAGAAAGTTCATTGTTTTGGGACCAGAAGACAAGCACAGAAGTTAGTGTAGGAGAGACAGGCTGTGGTTGTAGGAGTCACTGGCATGTTGGGGAGGTGGCATACTGAACCCGGCAGAGTTTCATATAAGAACTCATCATTCCCATCTTGTTGTTA